CCGGCAAGCAATAGCTGAAGCCCCGAAAATATGGGGCATTTATGAGGTCGGGCAAAACCTAGAGTTAGCCCAACAAGTAGAGGCATTGTCCCACAAAATGGACCAATTATTAGTTGCAGGACATGCCCCTACACAGCAAGATCAGCCTCAATTTCATGAGGCATGTGCTATTTGTGCGAGCCCTGCTCATGACATGAGTGAGTGCCCTTCGGCATCACAATTTCCAGAATTAGTCCAAGAGTATATGAATGCGGCTCAAGGATTCTCCAACCCAGGTAATGACCCATATTCTAATACATATCATCCGGGATGGAGAAATCACCCTAATTTTCATGGAAACCTCCTTCACAAGGTACTTCTTACAATCCTCCACCACCAAGGCAGAATTTTAATAATTTTGCCAACCAATCTTCTTACTGGCCACCACAACCTTATCGACCCCCACAACCTTACCGACAACCACAACCCCCACCTGTTCCTCAAGGCAACTCGGCCTTTGAGACTCAGATGTTTGAAGTTCTCTCAGAACTTAAGGGGTTAGCACCAGTAGTTCACTCCCATACTCACTCCATTGCCAAGCTAGAGGCCCAATTGGGTCAAATAGCTGACAACATGAATAGGAGAGCGAAGGAAAAATTACCGAGTCAGACTATGGCCAACCCTAAGGTTCAATATGGAGTAGAGGGTTCAGGTGGGAATGGAAAGTACCATGAGCAGGTGCAAGCGGTGATTACCTTGAGAAGTGGGAGCGAGTTAGAGCATTGGCCAGTTGCGTCTGATGCAACTAGGGCTAAGAAGGGTGACCACGGTGGTACACCCAATGAGAGCAAGGGTGAAAGAGAAACACTTGAGGAGGATGACTTAGTCCCTAGCACTTCAAATGAGCCTAAGGCACTATATATGCCTAAGGCACCCTTTCCCCCAATGCCTTAATACACCGTCCCCTTTTAATACGAAGGCGGCATCCATGGAAACGATGATGGAGGTCTTTAAACAGGTAAAAATCAACCTCTCCCTATTAGAGGCGATTAAGCAAGTACCGTCCTATGCTAAATTTCTGAAGGACCTTTGTACGTAAAAGCGTAAATCTAGGACACACGTGTCCCAAAAGGTCATACTCACGGAGCAAGTAAGCACCATCTTGTTGAATGACATACCCCCTAAGCTCAAATACCTGGGTGCCCCAACCATTGCATACATTATAGGGGACCATTTCATTGATAGGGCCTTGTCAGATTTAAGGGCTAGTGTCAATTTGTTGATGTACTCTGTGTACGAGGAATTTGGGCATGGCGAGTTGAAGCCCATTACTATTACTCTCCAGTTGGCTAACCGGTCCCTCAAAGTGCCACGTGGCATGATTGAGGATGTGCTAGTAAAGGTTGATAGGTTTTATTTTCCTGTTGATTTTATGGTCTTAGATATGGAACCGATGGCCAGCTTTAGGAAGCAAATCCCGGTAATCTTAGGTCGACCTTTCTTGGCTACGGCCAATACATGCATAAATTGTCGCACCGGGGTTATGGAAGTTTCATTTGGGAATATACCATCCTTAGTTACACCACCTATACTTGAGTTGAAACCGCTCCCGACCACACTTAGGTATGTATTTTTAGGGCTTCAAGATACTTTACGTGTCATCATTGCATTTGACTTAACTGTAGAGCAGGAAAGTCAATTAATGAGTGTTCTTGTGGCACATCGGAGTGCTATAGGGTGGTCGGTGGCCGATTTGAAAGGGATAGATCCCTCCGGGTGCATGCATCATATACATTTCGAGAAGGATGCCAAACCTTCTCATGAAATGCAACGGAGACTTAATCCCAATATGAAGGAGGTTGTGAAAAAAGAGGTGTTAAAATTGTTAGATGTGGGTATTATATACCCCATCTCGGATAGCAAGTGGGTGAGTCCTACGCAAGTGGTGCCCAAGAAATCGGGTATCACTATTGTAGAGAATGAGCAAGGAGAGTTGGTCCCCACACGAACTACTGCTGGGTGGCTAGTGTGTATTGATTATAGGAGATTGAATTCTATGACTAGGAATGATCATTTTTCTTTGCCATTTATTGATCAAATTCTTGAGAGGTTAGCGGGGCTGGGTTTTTACTATTTTCTTGATGGCTACTTGGGGTATAATCAAGTCCTGGTGTAACCCTGCTGACCAAGAAAAGACCACGTTCACTTGCCCTTTTGGCACTTTTGCTTACAAGCGTATGCCCTTTAGGCTATGTAATGCACCGGCGACTTTTCAACGGTGTATGATCTCTGACATGGTGGAGAAATTTTTAGAGGTTTTCATGGATGACTTCTCCGTGTTTGGGCCGTCTTTTGAGGAATGTCTCCAGAACTTAACCAAAGTCCTTATTCGTTGTGTGGAGACAAACCTAATTTTGAGTTGGGAAAAGAGCCATTTTATGGTTCGTGAGGGTATAATGTTGGGACACATTGTGTCCCCTCAAGGCATAGAGGTTGACAAAGCTAAGGTTGACCTCATTGCAAGCCTTCCTCCACCTAATTTTGTGTGTCAAATTAGGTCTTTCCTAGGGCATGCAGGTTTTTACTGTAGGTTCATCAAAGACTTTAGTAAAATATCACATCCTTTGTGTAGTTTACTTGCTAAGGACGGGCCTTTTATCTTTGATGAGGCATGCTTGAAGGCTTTTGAAACACTGAGAATGGCCCTTACCACCGGCCCAATCATGAAATCACCGGATTGGTTGCTTCCCTTTGAAATCATGTGTGATGCCTCAGATTATGCTGTTGGGGCTGTGTTGGGTCAAAGGGTCAATAGGGCACCATATGCTATATACTATGCTAGTCGTACTCTCTCGGATGCACAATTGAATTATACTACTATCGAGAAAGAGTTGCTAGCTGTGGTCTTTGCCTTAGATAAATTCCGGTCCTATCTCCTAGGCTCCAAGGTTATAGTCTTCACTGATCATGCTGCTTTGCGGTATTTACTATCAAAGAAAGAGACCAAACCTAGGTGAATTAGATGGATATTGTTGCTTCAGGAATTTGACTTAGAGATCTGAGATAAGAAAAGATCTGAGAATATGGTGGCGGATCACCTCTTTCGAGTCCTTGTTGAGTATAATAGTGACCCTTTAACTTTGCATGATTCGTTTCCGGACGAACAACTTCTTGTAGTGTCACGAACGAGCCCCTTGTGGTTTGCACATACTGTGAATTACTTGGCCATTGGGAAAATTCCTCAAACTTGGTCTAAGCAAGACAAAGACCGATTCTTTTCTTAGGTCAAGTATTATTTTTGGGAGGATCCGAAATTGTTTAAATATTGCTCCAACCAAGTGATCCGACGGTATGTGCCGGAGAGTAAGGTGCATAGCATTCTTATATTTTGTCATTCTTCTGCATGTGGCGTCATTTTAGTGGACATAAAATGGCCACCAAGGTTTTACAAAGAGGGTTTTATTGGCCCACAATTTTCAAAGATGCCCATCAATTTTGTAAAACTTGTTTGTACTATCAGTAAATGGGTTCGATATCTCAGCGTGACATGATACCAATGTCCCTTATTCATGTGGTAGTGATCTTTGATGTTTGAGGGATTGATTTTATGGGCCTTTTCCCGTCGTCGTTCGGGTTTGAGTATATTCTCTTGGCAATGGATTATGTGTCTAAGTGGGTGGAGGAAATAACTACCCGAACAAACGATCATAAAGTAGTAATCAAATTTTTGCATGAAAACATCTTTTGTCGGTTTAGTTTTCCTAGAGCCATAATAAGTGATTAGAGTACGCATTTTTGTAACTAGTTCTTTGAGTCGATAGTTAAGAAATACTCTATCACTCTTAAAGTTTGCGCTCGATACCACCCTCAAACTAGTGGCCAAGTAGAAGTCTCTAATAGGGAGGTGAAGCATATAATAGAGAAAACGGTAAGGCCAGATAGGAAAGATTGGTCAAAACGTTTTATTGATGCATTATGCGCCTACCGCACTGCTTATAAGACACCCATTGGGATGTCACCATATAGGGCGGTGTTTGGCAAAGCTTGCCATCTCCTGGTTGAACTCTAGCACTGAGCTTTGTAGGCCATAAAGAAGTTTAACTTTGATATGGCTGCGGCTGGGCTCAACCAGAAATTGCAACTCAATGAGTTGGAGGAAATTCAGAATGATGCATATGAGAGTTCGAGAATTTTTAAAGCTCGGACTAAGGAATTCCATGACAAACACATTAATAGAAAATCCTTTGAACTCGGCCAAAAAGTGTGGCTTTTTAACTCAAAATTGTGATTCTTTCCAAGTAAGCTTAGATCAAGATGGGATGGTCCCTTTGTAGTTATAGAGGCATTTATTCATGGCATCGTTAAGATGCAAGATCCAAAGAGAATGGCCACACTTTCAAAGTGAATGGCCAAAAACTGAAGCCATATATAGAGGGGATTGGGAATGGGGATATGACGAGTCCATTGCTTTGATGGACCCTTTTTACTTTGATTGAGAAATTGAAGTCTTGATCTCTTTTCTTTCATTTCTAGTCTATTATATTTTTCTTTATTCTTGTTGTGCTTTAATTGATGTCTATGAGACTTTAAATCCTCTAAAAGTGTAATTCCTTTGGTGTTAGCCATGCCCAAACGGCATCTGACGGTCTGGTATAGCCATCTAACTGTGTTTGTAGTGAGTTCCTAGGAGACCAACTCAGACGGTGGAAGCTAGAGTTCGAATGGCAAAGCCTAGAACGCAAAGGTTTGGAATTTCCGAGACTAAAGTCTGGTTTGAATACCCAGGTGTAGCACGCGTCCCGCGAGGGGCCTTCGCTACTACAGTTCGGACTCGATTTTGTTACGCGGTTCTTCATCTTGAACCAAAGAGTCCAAATTTGGCAAATCGTTTTGAGAAACAGATTTGTTTTGAAAAGAAGTGCCAAACATGGACTGCTTTGCCAGATACAGAGTCGCCACCTAAATATTAAATAAACACACATGAATCAAGAGAACAAAAACAACGCCCCAAAAAACAAAAAAAAAACAAAAAATGCAATTTAGGTGATTTTATAGTGGAAAACAAATACAAATTCAATGCTCAGCGTACCAAAAGAAGAACCAACAGTTCAATGGAATGGATTTGAACTCAGGCCAATGAACTCATTGTCTTTCAGATAGCTTAACTAAACAAACACACCTACTCTGTTCTTCCAACAAAAAAACAAAAATGAAACTATCAATCAAACTAAACTCAGTCAATTTTGATATCAATTGAGCGAGTTGTCTTGCTTTCTTCACCATCCGAAACTATCTCTTCCAAACTCAAAGGCAATAATCCACAGGAGAAACTGAGACTCGGCTTCAGTCTCGGCACAAAAACAGGCTCTGCCTCTCTGTTCAAAATCTGCAAAACTCTCCTCATCGATGGCCTCGCGTTGCTATCCGGGTTCGCGCAACTCAAACCCACAAGCAACAGCCTCTCCATTTCACTCTCCTCGAACTCCCCGCGAAGCCGATCATCAGCTGCCTCAGTGATCTTCCCTTCACAATACAATCCCCAAACCCAATCAACCAAATTCACCATCTTGTTACCACTCTGTTCTTTCTCAATTGCCCTCTTTCCACAAGCCACTTCAAGTATCACAACACCATAGCTAAAAACATCGGTTTTCTCGGTTGCTTTCCCGGACTGAAGATACTCTGGAGCAAGATATCCCATTGTTCCAGCGGTCAGAGTTGAAACCGGGCTCTTATCGTGGTCCATCAGCCTTGCCAATCCGAAATCCCCGAGCCGGGCATTGAAATTCCCATCCAGCATGATGTTGCTGGTCTTTATATCTCTGTGAATCACTTGCTGTTCACATTCTCTGTGGAGATATGTGAGAACAGAGGCTAACCCAATTGCAATGTTGTATCTTTGTACCCATTTCAGTGACTTATCTTGCTCTGTTTCTTGGTATAAGACCTTGTCAAGACTCCCATTGGGCATGAACTCATAAACAAGCAACAATTCATTCTTCTCAACACACCAACCTTGGAGCTGAACTAAGTTTTTGTGCCTCAAACAAGCGATAATCGACAATTCGGCAAGGAATTCTGTTTTGCCTTCGTGGGCGTGTTTTGATCTTTTCACTGCAAAAACAGTGTCCGAATCATTGAAATTGGTTCTGTAAACAGTGCCAAACGCTCCGTGGCCAATGATCCTGCTGGAATGAAACCCTCTTGTGGCTAAATTGAGCTCTCTGTAAGTGAATTGTCTTGGACCAGTCACAAGCTCTGCTTTGAAGCTCTTCTCCATTCGAATCCCTCTCCATTTCTTCATCGAAATCCACCCGAAAACCATGAGAAATGCACAAAAGAAGGCGGGACCGGCAATCCCGAAACCCAAACCGAGCCTCCGGTGATTCTTGTTGGGAGATTCAGGGACCAGGATTGGCGGTGTAAGCACCGAGTTATCGGAGATATTGTGAGGATGAATTCGAGGCCTCACTGTGCGAAACCCAGAAGTCTGAAACCTCCATTTCTCAATCTGGTGAAGCTCCGTGCTTCCCTCTGTTGATGCCGAAAAACCCACATACATAACCTGTTTTAGAAAACCCGAAAGGTCAATATCGACCGTTAACAGAGCATTATTGGGCTTGAAATTCGTGTAACTCAAGAACACATTGAGCCTCTGTTCATCGCTCATGTAATCAATCCAAACATTGATCATGTCCCCACTCTTCAGATCGATGTCTTGAGACAACGGATCGGCAGTCTCGATCGAAATCAAGCTTTCGATGTCTAACCCAACATGGTGGTTGTTGGTATCGTTGAAATCTGAATCAAGTCTTGTATCAAATTCGATTGCGACGAACTTTTTCTTGGTCAATTGGGACGAATTGACAAGACCCAAGTACCCTCCCGGGCTTCCCAGAGTCTGATTGTCTGGAGAGAGAAAGAAGGCAATCCCATCACCAAACGATGTGGGATTGACATTGCTGATTGAGAAAGAGAAGCTCGTAGAGAAAGAAGCAGTGATGTTGGTTTGAGGATCGAAGAAGGGAATTGGGTAGTTGTAGATGACTGTTCCAGAGCTTGAAGATGGGACACCGAGCTCTCGGGTGAGGCCGATGAGGCCGTCTCGGAGGAAAGAGTCGCCGAGAAGTGTGAGGTTTCGGAAAGAGAAAGATGGGAAATCGAAACTTGTGTTATGCTCTGCAAATGCTAATGGTGGATGTGAGAAATTGAGGAGGAAGAAGATGAGAAGCAAGAAAACAAGAAGGTTTCTTGGATGAGTGTTGATGGACATGGTTGAGAGAATGAAATTGGCGTTGATGAATAGAAAGGATCAGTATTGGGAATGGAAGTGAAAAGTAGTTCTTGGTGTTCATTACAGAGGAGAGAGAGGTGGAGGTGGTGGGAATCTTTTTCTATATTTGCTTCCGCAACCTCCTTGTTACGTGTTAATCTGTTCAGAGGCCTTTGGTAATCCAAGGATTACTGGGTGTAGACACCCTATTTTTGACCGTCCTCAAGACTTGGACGTCACCGTTTGAACACTCGGTGATCATCCATATTTGTGTTCGTTTGGAGTTCCCGGAGGTCTCGGCTACGCGCCGTGCCTCAAGATCTCCGATTTCGACCGTTAAGTGTCTGGTTTTGCACCAAACACTTGCATCTTGCTTTGGAGGGGCAGGGAATGCCTTGTGAGGCATCCCCACACACCACCGGCAGTGGCTAAAGGTCACCGGCTGATTTTTGATTCCATCGGCACTTTTTATTGCCGGTCGGCACTGTTTGTTGCCGGTCGGCACTAAATTTTGTCAAAATGACATTTTTGGGCAGCCGACCACTGTTCATCTACTTTATGGAGATATTTTGTGCCAGCTGTGATAGCTGGCACCAACTCTGCCTCCCTCCATACACGTGTATGGAGGGAGGCAGAGTTGGTGCCAGCTATCACAGCTGGCACAAAATATCTCCATAAAGTAGATGAACAGTGGTCGGCTGCCCAAAAATGTTATTTTGACAAAATTTAGTGCCGACCGGCAATAAACAGTGCCGACTGGCAACAAGCAGTGCCGATGGAAGCAAGAACCAGCCGGTGGCCTCTAGCCATTGCCGGTGGTGTGTGGGGATGCCTCACAAGGCATTCTCTGCCCCTCCAAGGCAAAACACAAGTGTTTGGTGTGAAACCAGACACTAAACGGTCAAGTTCGGAGATCCTGAGGCAGGGCGCGCGAGCCGAGACCTCCGGGAACTCCAAATGAACACAAACATGGATAATCACCGAGTGTTCCAAGCGGTGACGTCCAAGTCTTGAGGACGGTCAAAAATGGGGTGTCTACACCAAGGGTGTGGAGATTGCTTCAAAACCACCTTGACTTAAACTCTGTATGGCAGCCCCATAAGTCGAGTTAGCCTTAGGCGCCTTGATTCTAGATACCGAATCAACCTAGTCTGTCACCCTGTTGGAGAATAAGGAAAGTTACAAACACAATTAGGAAGAAAAGTAGTACCCGTGATTTTCGCGTGAAGATTATACCTTTGTTGCGCATTTCGATATATTCGATGTTCTATTTTTTATTTCAGATGTGCATTGAAGGTAGAAATGGTTTAAATTTTTATTTGGATTGTGATTGAGTTTTTATTTTAAATAAATGAAAATAAATAAAATATAAAAGAAAAAAAATTGGGTTGTACATCGGTTAAAAATAAATAAATAAATTTGTAACAGATTGCACATGCGGCCCAAACTGGCGCACGTGCAGAGAGACCAAGCATGGGCACATGAGCGGATGACCAGGCCACACGAGCAGCCCAGCCCAAAAGCCTACTGCTTAATGGCCGCAGGAGCGGCCCATTTCTGCCGCATAAGCAGCCAAACAATAAGCACTCGTACGTACCCATTACGCGCACAAGCGGCCCAATTCCAAAAATAAATAAATAAACCACCGCACGAGCGGAGGCCCAGGCCAAACGAGCGGCCCAGGCCCAAAATCATTCTACTTTTACACCGCAAGAGTGGCCCAATTACGCCGCTGGAGAGGACAAAATTAAGCGCTCCTGCGGCCCAAATGGCGCACGAGTGGTCCAATCCAAAAAAAAAAATAAAAATTTGCCTGCAGAATTTTTTTTTCTTATTATGTTTATTTTAATTTACTTATTTTATATTTCTTCACCAAAAAAAAAAATTTGTACAATTTTATTTCTTTATTTATTTTTATTTCCTTATTTTATTTACATATAAAACCATTAAAAAAAATTTGCAATTTTTATTTGTTTATTTATTTATTTATGTTATGTTAGTTTATTTTCAAAAAAAAAAAATCAATTTTGTTGACAAAACCCTAGACCCACTTGTTGACTCCCTCACTTTTCCAACTATACTCTCTCTTCTTCTTCTTCTTCTTCTTCTTCTTCTTCTTCTTCTCTCTCTCTCTCTCTCTCTCTCTCTCTCTCTCTCAACCCCACACACCCACAAACTCCATCGAACCCCACCATCACCAACTTCTTCTTCCTTCTTCCTTCACCTTTCACTCCACCTTTTTCTCAAAACCACTTTCCACCGGAGTATCACCATATTTTCCAACCACCAACTTTTTGGCAGCCATTTTTTCGGGCGGATCTACATCATCTTCTTCATTTCTTTTCATCCTATTTTTTTTTAAGGTAATCACCCTTTTTTTTTGGATTTCTTAATTTTTCCATGTAATATAGTAGTTTAATAGTTGTTGTTGAAGCTTTATTCATCATCCTTGTATCTATCATTATCTCCATCATCATCCATGATCACCACTGTCCATGATGTTAAGTATATTATAAAAGAGAGGCACCCCCGTGGGTCTAAGGTATGTAATTCATACTTCGAGTATTCAGTTTAATACTTGATTATCCTTGAGAAACTTACTGACTTGATCGTCAGAGTGCCCCCGGGTGGAAGAACCACCGCCGGAGCTTTTCCTTTCTGTTACAGGTTGCTGGAGCCATCTATTCTGCCGGTGCTTTGCTGCTGATCACTAAACGGGCAGTGTGGTCAGATTTTTACCCACACAATTGGTTAGTAGATTGTTGTTATTTTTGTTTCACTTGTTTAGTTAGTGATTTTGTTTTATTTTTATTTTGTTATGTAAATAGTTGTTTGTGTTTGTGGTATTAGTACACTTGTCATGTGTATGCCTTAATTCACATGAACACACTATCATGGCGATGACCTTTTTATTATAATCCCTGGTGTACATCATTGATAATGGCTAAGATTGCAGAAAAGAATAAATGAGTAACCAAGATTCTTAAAATAAAAAAAAAAAAAAAAAAAAAAAACACAAAACACACCCTAAGTACAGGTTTTGTTCACACCAGTCACTCCTCCTCACTTGACACAAGGTCTTTTTCTTCAACGCCCGGTGTCTCTACACCTAGTGCCCTAAAACCGTCTAGTTTGGGAGTCATTGGCCCAATACTTGCTACATGGGTTAATTAGAAAGCTTAAGAGACCTAGACATTGCACAGTTAAGGAAAACTAAAGAGAATGACTTGTTCGGATTCGTAGCCTTTTCAATTCGAATTAGCAAGCCCGTAGGGCTATCTTCACACCTAGTGCCCTAAAACCATCTGGTTTGGGAGTCATTGGTCCAATGCTTGTTATGTGGGTTGATTAGAAAGGTTAATGGATCAAGACATTACACAATTAAAAAAAAAAAAGCTTTTGAGAATCTTGGTTGCAACAGTTTAGTTTTTCTGTATATGTTGGGTGTTATTATGAGTTACACTGGGCTATTATTGGACAGTTAACTAATATGGAGATTGCACTTTACACCAAGGGTATTGATGATGTGTCTACTAACATGCACAAGTACAGAGGTCTTTACTTTTGTATTAACTGAATTATGGTTTTGATTCAATAGATTTCTCCATGCTTGTCCACTGTGCCTTCAATAACTCATAATGTCTTAATATCACACTGTAGTGGCACATTAGTTGATTGTTAGCTAGAATAGTGTGGTTAATTGTTGTTGAGCGGATATGAATATGTTGATGTTTATAGGTATCATTTCTGAAAACTCTCAAGAGACTATACTCGTCTACTTGGGGTAACCTTGTGGTTTAAAGACTTGTTGCATATGCTAAATGCAATCGTGATCCCTATGAAAGTGGCTTAGAGTTATTTTACTTTTCTTATTTCTTTTGTTTTGCTTGAGAACTAGCAAAATATAAGTTGGGAGATGTGATGTAGGCCGAAAGATACCACATTGAGGCCACTTAAGTTACATTTTTAATCTTTCAATTTTGTTTATTTGGTGGAGATGATGTGTTTTGTGCATTTGTACAGATTTGGCAGGAAATACGTAAATTCAATAAAAAAAAGGCGCAAAAGTAGATCCTCCATGTGAGAAGTGAAAAATCTAAGCCAGCCAAACCACTGCACGTGCGACCAAGCTTCACCTCACGTGCGGCCCACCTAAGGACGCATGCACAGAATTTAGGGTGTGTTTTGCTAAGAATAAAAGGAAAAAAAATAGGCTAACTTAGGGTTCAAAAATTATTTCAAGGAAAGGGAGATTAAGGTTTTGAAAAGGTGATTCCTCCTCAAGCTTAAAGGACAACTTCCATGGGGGCTTCTTCCTCATCCTCTTCCTCTTCCCACTCCTCCATGAGTGGTTAGTCTTCTTTTCTAGGGTTTTGATGAAATCCTAGCCATGTAATAGGATTTTTCATAAGCTTTGATTGTGAATAGGTTTGAATCAATGTATGGATGATTTAGAATTTTTTAATCATTATTCTTTTCATCTCTTCAAATATTTTACTCTCTGTGATTATTTAATGTTTTCCATACATTAGTTTTCTTTGCGTTTGTATTCAAAGTAGTCATGCTATGAGAGACGGGTCGTGTTGCTACCATAGTTTAGAACAAATGCCTCGTGCTACTCGGGATGATTCATGCCTATAAATTGAATGTGACAACCCTCTTGATCAATATTTCAAACTTATAGTTGTGAAATATTAGGTATTTCAAACCGGATTGTAATTGATGGCCAATGTTAAATCTCATTTGTGGTTAGTGGTAAATTCTTTGCTCTAGGATTTTTTTTAAAAAAAAATTAATATCTCAAACCCTAATTTTAGTTGTCAATTTAATTTCTCAATTTCATTTAATTCCTGTTTAGTCATAAAATCTCTCAATCTTTTTAATCAAAATTAATTTAGGAATTTAGCGATTGAATTAGTCTAATTTCACATTTGTCCCTGTGGATCAATACCTGAACTTGTCATTATTCTCAAGAATTTAGTATAATTTAATATTTAATTTTGGTGTGTGTAATGACCTATCACCAAAAAAGAACACTTAGGGGAAGGGATCCTTATCAAAGATTTGTGCTCCGAGCACAAATTAGTGATTAGACGTTTAATTGAGGAGATT